TCGGAACGCTAGTACCTCCTCGCTCGCGAGCTAAACTTTTCTTAGTTTTCTTCCGTTAATACTTCCTTTTAATAATTCGTAAAGGGGCTTTACTATACGGAAATATCCTTCTATAAATCTACGATAGAAGTTATAAAATCCTAGAAATTATTATATCTCGTAAAAGGTCGTAAGTTCTAGCTAGTCTTTAATAATATTTACTCTTTTTAGGTCTATCGAAATTCCTTCCTATAATATATAAAACCCTAGAAATTCGATACTATCGCGATAAAAGGAATACTTCGCTACGTTAACGTAAAGATCGGCTTCTCGTAGCCTTTTAAGGACTTAACGGAGGTTACGCGTATAGGTTTCTCGGTTTTATACGAAGATAAGGATATCGTCGAAATACGCTATATAAACGATATCGATTAACCCGTAAAGCGCCTTATAGATATAATTTTAAAAGGTAATAAAGGCGTTAGTTAATCTAAAGGGCATTATTAAATATTCGTAGTAACCGTATCGGATCCGGAAGACGGTTTTCTATTCGTCGTTCTCCTTAATTCGTATTTTATAATACGCGTCTTTTAGGTCTATCTTTAAAAAGATCTTCGCCTCCGAAACCCTATCGAAGATTTTAGATATAAGGGAAAGGGGGTATCGGTTTTTAGTCGTTAATCGGTTTAACCTCTTATAATCGACGCATAACCTTAATCCTCCGTTCTTTTTAAGTACGAAAAGAATAAGGGCTCCTACGGGGCTCTTCGATTCCCGTATACGTCTAAGTTTTAGGTTTTCCTATATATATCCTCGTAATATATCGAACTTATTCTAGGCTAGAGGATATATTAGGCTATAAGAAGGCACGAAATCCTCCGGCGTTTCGATAACGTAGTCGGCTTATTTATAAGGTAATAATATAGCTACTTCCTTATCGTTAAATACGTCGACGAAGTCTCGTAGCTCTTTAGGTAAGTCTTCGATACGCCTTAATATCGATACCTCTTTATTAGGTAATAAGATAGGTTCTAATAATTAAACTACTACGAAGACTCTTACTTCGTTCTTTCGTACGTATTTTACGAACTAATAAGGTTTTATAAACTCGTACGTAGGTTTTATAATTTTAAACTACTATCGATTCGCCTTTATATCGAATAAGATACGCTCGTCCTTTATTATCGTTATAAAAAGTAATATAAGGCTTTCCTCTAATTTAAGGTCTCGGTCGATCGCTATATACGAGCGTTCTAGCGTCTTTATTATACCCCTACTATCGGTAATTCGTATTAATATAGTATATATTCCGTAGCTTAGATACCGTAAGTCGCCGATAGCGCGTAATACCGGCGCTATAAGTTTAATTCGTTAAAGTCTCGCCTATTTAACGAATTCGACGCTAATATAGTTTATTTTAACGCCCGAGTCGAAATCGAGATACGTTTTAATAATAATTAATATTTTTATTATAGCTTTAACGTAAAACCGTATTATAACCCCTATTAACGGATACGGCTCCGTAGGTTAAGATATACCTAAGGAGCTTAGGCTTTTCCCTTTCCTTTAGCGAGGCCTCCGATATAAGGCGAGTTTCTCTTAGGATACCGATTAATTAAGTACGCTTCGCTATCGTAAATATAATACCTTAATATATTTCCGTTTTAATTTATTAGGTTCTTTTTAGGCGGGGTCGTATTATTATCGTATCGCTAACGTTTCCTTAGCGTAACGGTATTATTATCCTTATTAATCTTCCGTAAGAACGTATCCTTTATATCGTTTCTCTTCTTCTAGGTCGGGCCTTAAATAAACTTAGCTACTTATTAGGTATCCTATTTAATTTCTACCTAGTCGACGATATTTACGCGGCTCGTCGGCCTTTTACTACCGAAATCCTTTAGGTATAACTTAAAAGGTACGTAAAGTTTAACGTAAAACGTTAAGGCCTTTTAGCTCTTTAACTTAGGTTCGCTTTAATTTTCGATCGAATTTAAGTAAATATCGAAATCCCGCGGAAATTAATTAAAATATTATCGAACGTTTTTTATTTAATCCGTTAGTTTATATTCGCGGTTAGTCGCGTTCTTTAAGAGAAATAAGGCTTATATTTTAAACTATTCGAAGTTTTCGAGCGCTACGTCTCGCTATACTTACGTCGGTATCTCGCTCGTATAGCGTCTTTATAATACTCTCGCCTCTAGTTCCATATAGCGGATAGCGTATAGAATCCGTTTCTATATCGATTTAAACTTCTTAGGGACGCTAAAGTATATAAGGTCGAGATCCCTTAGCTATTCTTCGAATTTCTTAAAGCTAAAGTCCCTTTAAAAGATAAGGGTTCCTTTTATTTTAAGGTCGGGGTCTTAACTATCGTCTAACGAATTAATATCGCTTCGATAACGCCTACTTTTACCTAGGCGTTTATTAGAGTTACTATAAACCTCGTTTTCTAATTCCTTAAGGCGTTATTAGGCTTCCTTAAGGGCTTCTAGTTAACGAATCTTCTCTTTAACCTTTTAAAGGTTCTCTTATAGGATATTTAATTTAATACGGGAGCTACTACCCGCTTCGCTTTCGTAAGTATCGCCCTCTTACTAACGAAGTCGCTCGTTCCGGGAATTATTACGAGTTACCCGCGATTCGCTTCCTACGGGCTCGTTACCGCTTCCTTTTATAATACGGGCTATCCTTATTAAATAGCTTTTAAAGAAGTACTTAAATTATAATAAAATCCTTAAGCTAGGTAATAAATATTTTCCCGTAGTAACGTAAATAAGTACTTACCTTTTAAAAGGATAAAAAGGCGAATACCTAGCGATAGGCGGTCGCTTATATAGCGAGAAACGGGATAAGTTAAAACGGTTACCGCCTAGGAGGTACCCTCGTACCGGTATAGATACTATAATGCCTTATACCCTCGTACCTATCGCGCACCTTCCTGTCGCTCCCTTACATTAAGGTAGCGTATACGGTACGTACGTAGTATATTACGTCGACGGTTATTTCGAACCGCCTCTTAATCTGCCGGGGGCGCTATTACCGTTACTATTACCGCCGCCGTTACCCTTACCCTTTCGTTCCTTTAGCGGTTTTAAGTAATCCTTAGCCTTATACCTATATTCCTTATAATTAAAATAAAAGGGCTCTCCTTATTAGTTTTACGAAGGCTTTTTTTTCTTATCCTTTTCCTTACCTTAGGCGTTATTAGCCTAATTATTATTACCGCCGTTATTCTTATTATCCTTATACTTATTAATCTTATTACGGAACTTTCCGCGGAAGTTATTAAGTACGTCTAGTAGGTCTATAGGTTTCGTTTTAATTATAGTATTTACGATCTTAACCTAATTAGCTACCTTATTCTATATATAGCTAAGGAATATCGTAATTTATTACTTTTCGCCGATTACGAGGCCGGCATTTATATACTAACGAACGGCTAGTTATTACTTAAACGTAAACTTTATCGGATCCTTATTATCGTATTTTATTTTAATAAGTTATTCTTATAGCTCCTACTAACGAGCCTTTCCTATAGAGACATAGGTTTAATCGAATATCTTTAATATCTTCGTACTTAAGCGTACGCCCGCTACTAATTATAAGGGTTAACCCCGGTAGGTTCCGGCGATTACTCTCGCTAAGAATATCTCGTTTTATTCGTCGAGTTCTACCCCTTTTCTATACCTTATTTCTTTTATAAAAAATATAAGTATATTCCGATATAAGCTTTAATTCGAGATTTCCTTAAAATAAGCGTCCTTATCGGGATTAAAAACGAACTTCTTCTAGTTAATCCTACCGTCCTTTTTAAACGCGGTACCTTTATTCTTATTTCTTACCTTCCGGCTACGTCGTTTACCGTAATCGGAGTTATTATCGGAAGAGCTTCCTAATAGGTTACTTAGGCTACGGCCCCGGCGACGGTAGCTCTTACGCCGGGCTAAGCGCGAAATACGATAATAACGGCTATCCTCGCGGCTCTTACGGTAATCCTTACCGTAGATTCGTTAAGTCTTTATAACCGATTTATTTAATTTCCTCGGAATTTCTAGGTTTTTAATATAAGGTTTATCCTTACTTTCGTTAGCGTCGGTAAAGTCGCCTTCTTTTACTAAGTCGGCGACGTCTTACTAAGGTTAGCGATAGCTTCCTTACCGTTATTCGCTTATCATTTCTAGCTTAGTTATTATCTTCCTAAAGAGATATTTTACGGTATTTATACGCTAGTTAATATACTCGGTCGTTTTACGTAAGCCCTCCTATAACTTCTTACGTATTTCCTTACGGAGGTCCTTTAACGCGATATCCTACGTAATTTCTTATTCGGTTCCTTCCTCGGCCGCCTTATCTTATAATCTCGTAGTTATTCTCGTAGCTATCCTCGCGATTTAATCGTTTAACTTATCGATAACCTCTTTCTACCGTTAATCGTAGTTATACGGTTACCTTAAGCCGCTCGTTTATCGGAGCTTTCGTTACCTAATTACCTCCGTAGCGTAAGTAGTTAGATAATAATAAAATAGCGTAGTAATAAGCTTACGAAACGTATAAAGTACTATCATATAACTATCTAAGGAACGGGTAAATAATTAATTAAATTATAGTTATTTACGTAGCCTTTTAGAGCCGTTTTACGTGCCTTTTATATCCCGATTAGCCCTCGTTAGGGTAGGGCTTACCCTATAGCTGCACGTAACCGATTACGTGCTTACGCGCCCACAGCTTTAGGTATATGCCTGCCTTTTATTACTGCTCAACCCCCCCCTCTCTCTATTTATTTTAATTTCTATTTCTATTTTAGTACATCCTAATTCTCTTCCTCTTTCCTTTCTTCTTCTTCCCTCTTTTCCTGACTGACTAATAAGGAAAGCCATGCGTGATGTGGGGTCGGAACCAAAGCCGACGCCGAGATAGGACTGTGCGAAACGTAATAACGGGTGGAATGGCGGCGAAGGGGAATGAGACCGGACGAACGTGACCATAGATTTTTCTTCCGACTTTAATCGACTTGTATAAAATAAGAATAAAAATAAAAGTAGGTGTGTAAAGGAGTAAGAATTCGCCTCCTCTCTTGCACTTACACCCTTCCTCTCCCTCTACCCACAGTAGGCACCTACTGAACCTGCCAACCCATCGTCACCCCCCCTCCACCCCGCTTGTGAGCCGTCACCATGTCCTACGGATCCGTAAATTCGCCGGAAGCCCCAGCTAAGGGGTCCGACGCTGCCGCTGCCGCCGCTCGGTCTTCGCGGGTGGGTCATGCCGGCGGCGGCGACCATGTCGGAGGCGAACGCGCCGTCTCCGCTGCCGAGGACGGGGCCGACCCTCGACGGTGCACGGCGGCGTGGCAGGGGCTCAAGACGTTCTACGAGAGAAACCTCGGGCTCTTCTTCGTGTTCCTAGCCCAGGTCTTTGGGTCGCTGGTACGTCTTACACCGCGCCGTGTCGCGCTTGGAGCTGAGCTAGCCCTCCGCTCCCTCTCCTTCCCCCTCCCCGTGTATTATAAACCCAAACTAAAGTCAGCCCGTAGATGACGATGACCACCCGCCTGCTCGAGACGGGCTTCGAGGTCAAGTTTCACGCTCTCGAGATCATCTTCGTGCGCATGCTGGCCACCGCCATCCTGGGCTCCCTGTACATGTGGTACAAGAACGTCCCCGACTTCCCTCTCGGCCGCCGAGATATCAGGGGGTTGCTGGTCCTGCGCGGATTTTGCGGGCTCACCGGGCTCTTCTGCTTATATTGTAAGCCGTATCTACGTCTCCTAGCTTTCCGGGCTACTACTGAGTAAGGCTGGCTGACCGGACGGATAACAAGATTCGCTTTCGTACTTGAACCTGTCGGATGCCACTGTCATCACCTTTATTGTCCCAACGATGACGGCCTCCATTTGTTTCATAGTTCTTCGGGTAGGTCTTTTATTTTATTTTCCACGCCGTTCGTATGACTTATTCATCCGTCTACAAAGGCACACACCATGCTCATCAATACACCACTCAGGAACCGTTCACGGTGAAAGAGGCCCTCGCCGGGCTCGTTGCGTTCGTCGGGGTGCTGTTCATAGCCCGGCCGACGTTCCTCTTCCCCCAGCACGGGGGAGACGAGGAGCAGCCCGAAGCCGGCAGCGACACGCCGCTGTTCGCGACCGACCGGCCGGGAGGTCTCGTGCCGTCCGTGCCCGCGACGCCGGCCGAGCGCACGCTCGCTGCGCTGCTGGCCGTCGTCGGCGCATTCGGCGCCGCCAGCGCGTACTCCACCATCCGCGTCATTGGGAAGCGCGCCCACTCGCTCCTCAGCGTCAACTATTTCGCCGTTATCGCCACCGCCGGCTCCTGCCTTGTCATCCTCGCCCACCCGGACCTGCAGTTCAAGGTCCCCCAGGACGCGACTCAATGGTACGCACCACGCCGCGGTTCGAGCGTTTCCGGACAGGCGAGGAGAGAGCCCTGACTGACAGTCTGCCTGTGCATAGGTCCCTGCTAGTCGCCATCGGCATCGCCGGTTTCCTGCTCCAGTTCCTCCTGACCGAGGGCCTGCAGCGGGAGAAGGCCGGCAGAGCCACGAATCTCATAGTAAGTCGTCGCAGAGGAGAGAAAGGCGGGGAGAAAGAAGACTAATGCGCAGGATGCAGTACACCCAGATGGTCTTTGCCCTCATCCTTGAGCGCATCGTCTGGGGCACGACCCCGCCCCCCGAGTCCCTGTTCGGCAGCGGCCTGATCATCGGGTCTGCGATATGGGTCAGCCTGCAGAAGACCAAGGCGACGACAGCCCCGCAGAAGGAGCCTGTCCCCGACGAGGAGCGCAGCCTCCTCGGCACCCGCACACCTGCAGACGCACGCGAGGATTAATGTCGATTCTGTGTCGTTGACTACGGATATATAGGTTGGGGGGCCATGAACTTGCATCAGGGGGCATGTCAGGTTACCCGCTTGGAATTTTGTCCGCGCTGTTGCGCGACGCTGCGTGGAGTTGTAAGCGCACGTAGGTATTATTATATACTACGATTATAGCGAGCCCTCTCAGTATATATCAGGGATAGAGAAAAGTCTACCTACTACTCTTGATCCATTGCGATACCATCCCTAGCCACCTATGTGCTCTGTTCATATAGATATCGTCTAATTAACCGTCTAGAGCCGCACGACATAGGTATTTTTAGAATATATTGTTACTTATTTGGCCACATGGCATAGGAAATACTACTGATATGGGTATTTTTCCCGCAGCGCATACGGTGCCGAGCCCTCTTCACCTTCCCCCCTCTCGGACACGCGCACATGTATCTCGCTGACACGGCGACACAGAATACGACGGGCGCTCTGCATATTCCCGGGCCTACCGCATCGCGGGGAGACAGCGGCTGCTGCGGAACACCCACCCACCCCCTATCTATGCGTCTGCCGAATGGGGATGTTACATACCTACTACATACACACCGCGTGAGTCAACGCCACTCGGCAATCGGCGGCTCGTAAGCAGAGTGAACGTCTGTTCGTGGCCGGCTTCGAGTTCATACTGCGGTTCTTTTGGATGGGGGAGTTGGACAATGTCCTCGACTCGCACCGCGTTGTAGGAAGAAGCTAAGAAGTTGAGACAGAGAGAGAGCCGAAGCCTTCGATATTCGCAATATCATGTTCCATCGTGCGGACATACGCCGCCTCTAGGTACCCTCTCGTTCTCCTACCCTTTCTTACACCTGCGCGTGCCCGTGCCGTATATTTAACTAGCTCCGATGCTCGATGGTCATGCCTAATCGGACCTAGCTGGCCCTATAGTGTTCTAGATGCTTGCAGCTAGAAATGGATGTTAAACTGACGGGGGGTCCCCAGAGAAGGCAATCTTGATTGATGCTGATAGTTCGAGTCGAGATTTAAAAACTTTTCTCCGCGTCCCCCTTCTTCGCCTTATACTTTAATCATACCTACATCATAGAGGTATACGCCCTTTGTCCGCCCAAATCTATATCCCGATGGGCTCATTCTCTATGACATGAGAGACACAGCTCTCGCGAACCCTCGAGGCTAGTAGGTACCTACGTTACGTTACATAGCCCCAAGCTCAGCAGGTATCTCTCGACCGACGGCGGAAGGACAACGGGGAGAGAAAGCGAAGAGATAAATCAGGCGTCGAGGCCGCTCGTGACGGGGTCCCAGCAGACAGGCTTGTACTCGTCGGTCTCAAGGGCGGCCAGGTCGTCGGCCGAGATGTCGAAGTCGTACAGGGCCGCGTTCTCGGCGATGCGAGCGGGCGTGACGCTCTTGGGTAGCGGGATATAGCCCTTCTGCAGGCTCCAGCGGATCAGCACCTGGGCCTCGGACTTGCCGTACTTAGCCGCGAGGCGCGCGAGGGTCGCGTCGCCGAACCGCGTGCCCTGTACGATTGGCGAGTATGCCTCGACGGCGACGCCGCGGGCCTTGAGCCACTCCGCCACATCGTTGCGCGCGCACCACGGATGGATCTCGTACTGGCCCACCGACAGGACTCCGCCCTTGCCCTTACCACCCCGCTCCGCCTCAAGCTCCGCGATGTGCGTCTCCAACTCATCCAGGTGATGGATGCCGTAATTGCTGACGCCGATGGACCGCACTGGGGCGCATGTTAGTCACTCATCTCCGTAGCTCAATCGAATCTCCCTTGTTTTTCCCCTAGCGTTTTCCTCCCTCTCCCCCTTACCTCGAGACCTCCAAACATAGCTAGATATCTAGATTCTCGGACAGCAAAAGGAAAAAAAAAAAAACAGACAAGAACGGAGGGGGCGTACCCTTGCCTTCCTCGACAGCCTCCACGAGGGCCTTCCACGTGCCTTTCCGGTTAGCAGATCCGCCGTAGGGGGCGTGGATGAGCACGAGGTCGAGGTAGTCGAGGCCGGCCGTCTTCAGGCTCGTGTCAATCTGGGCCTTGGCCGCCTTGTAGCCCATAAACTTGGTCGGGATCTTGGTGGTGTAGAAGATCTCGGACCGCGGCAGCTTGCTCTCGCGGATGGCCTCGCCGCAGCCGGCCTCGTTTCGGTAGACGACAGCGGAGTCGATGTGGCGGTAGCCGACCCCGAGCGCCTCAAGACAGGCCTTCTTGGTACCATCTGGCGGACTGGAAGACGTCACGCGAGGTCAATTCACGGACCCGCGGCCAAAGGGGCCAGCCAGGACAGAGGGATAGGTACTCACGTTTGGTATACCTAAATGGCGTGAGCTTAGTCGGCCTAAGGCGATATTCGGCCCAAGTGAGTGGTGGAGCACTTACGCCGAAGCCCAGGCGCGGGATTTCATACCCGCTGTTTAGCTTAAAGACGGAGTTGATGTTGTAAGCCGCCATGGTTCTTCCTCTATATTGCGAGAGGCAGCGGGTTAACTCGGGACAGGGCGCATAGGAGAGCTAAGATGTCGTGTAGTAGCGCAAGGAGAAGGTATCAAAGCCAAAGGATAGTTGGAAGACGGGTAAAACCGCGCGAACTTGCCTTGGTAAATATCCTCTGTACTGATGGCTGCTGGTGGGGGTGGGTAACTTCCTAGCAAACGCGTGGAAGGTCGACGAGGTCCGAAGGCCGCTCATACGACAAGGCCGTGGTAGGGACGGCAGGTCTGGGAGGTCAGAAGTGGGAGGGAGGGACAATGAAGTTGGGGATAGAAAAGAGGGATGAGAGGTCGGGACGGGTACTTATCTAAGTGATCAGGAGTCGATCGAATAATGACTCGGGCCGATCCTAGACGACGCCGCGCCACATAACCTAACTGGTTAGTTAGCGGGACAACACACACGAGCGAGGACTTCAGGGTTATATCCGTCGAGGGGTTGGGAGGAGGGGTGGAGAGGAGCCGACAAGAGGTGTCCGGGGCGGATCGGATCTTCCGTTTTCAGGCGGGTTCGACAGACAAGGAAGCAGGACTGGGTTCGCCTATAGGGATGTGTCTTTTACCGGCTGAGAGGCGTTAAGGAGGTATCTGGGCTAGGTAGGTGGGTGGGTACGTATTGCATAAGGCGGCGTATTCTACAACCGTGATAAACGCCAGGTCAGGTACCAAAGGCAGGTTGGATGTCTTCAAATATACCTCCAAAGCACGGAGGAAAGGCACGCTATTCCGCCTATTCGAGTATGCGACGGGAGGGCTATACCTAGGGCTATTAGTAGGTAGCCTCGGTAAGCGAATATTATCGGCGTGGAGGTATCGTATACCTAGATTGGTATATACGAGTTACGCTTCATGTGAATATACTTGAACAGATTCCAGTCACCCCGCCCTCTAGAGTCTTAGATTTTATAGTATTACTGTAGGCGTGTAAGCACGTAATCGGTTACGTGTGGCCACAGGATAAGCCCTGCCTTAGTAGTAAGCGATCGAGAGATAAAAGGTACGAAAAACGGCTCGCAAAAGGCCACGTAGATAGCTGCAATTCCATCAACTGTTGACCCTTTCCTTAGATGGCCACAATTATACCTATACTTGGCACAACCGACTCAATAAGTAGATGTGGCTTACAGCACGGCTTTGAAAGAAGAACAGGTATGCGTAAGGCGAGAGTCCTAGCTCTAGCCTAGCGCCCTTTGCTTATACCGATAGCTTAATGATACCTTAACCTCACGATATTTAGGTATACCCTAACACGGACGAGGCCGGAGTAATTACCATAAGGGGCATGCATTTGATCCATTAGTAATAGTAATGGCGGTCCCAACACATGGTTAGAGGACGATGTCGGATTTAAGGAGAATGGAGAAAAATCGCCGATACTCTGGAAACCAGGTGAAAATATTGTTGTTACCTACCTACCTACTTACTAACTCAGGCTGCGTAACTTGGATACCTTTCGTTACTTAAGGGTGAGGGTAATGGTGGGGTGGAGGGGTTGCCTTGCATAACCTCTGTGCTTGCTGAGAAGCTGAGCATAAAGGCGGAACAGGAGCGAAAGGCGTGTATAAGGTGACGTAGGTGTGCTGCATAAATGCAGTATACTGGTTTGCCCTTGTGTTAGGTGGGTAGTATCTAGGTAATCTACCTATAATCAGAAAGGTGATGATCCATCAGTATTGGGAGATCCTCTTCCTCTTCCTTTCCCCCACCCACCCGTCGACGCCCCACCGCATGTGATTGACGAATATACCGGCCTGCTATCACCAAAAAGTGTCTCTCACCTAACGACATCTAATTCCTTACTATCCTTCGGAGGTTGGCTATCGCGAACGGGCGAGCAGAAGAACCATCGACAATCTTTTTACTGCGTCGCTACGCTGGGTTATAAAACTTATCGGTTGCCACTTTGGATAGCGCGTAGCGAGGTGTTCAAACTGACAGTGGCCAACCTCCAGTGCTCCTCCTCCCCTACCACCGGCCATGCAGCTCGTCGGGTCCAAGTCGTCGCAGCGCCTGGACGAGATCGGCGAGGGAAGCGTGACTCTCCTCCCCATCGACCCAGAGGACATGGTAAGCCTACCTACCATACATCCCTATCGTCCCGAGCGTATGCCACGTCCGACAACTTGTCAGCATCTACATAGAGCTAACCCGTCTAATTATGCTGCCTCTTCGCCCAGTGGCATGCCAACAATCTGATCGGCCCCCAAGATGTGATCAAGGCCCACGCGATCCGAAAGGTAACCACCGAGTCCAAGACCGGTAGCACCATGTCCGAGCGGGTTCACACCGAATTGACCATACGCGTCACGTCGACCTTCTTCGACCCGGCCGCGTCGCAACTGCACGTCTCCGGCACCGTCATCAAGGAGAACAACTTCGTCAGCCTCGGCCAATATCACACCCTCGACCTCGAGCTCAACCGCCCGTTTACCATATGGAAGCAGTACGGCTGGGACTCGGTGGCGAGGGAGACTCTCTCCGACGCGCTGAGGCAGGACAAAGACGGCGCCGTCGCTGCCGTCGTGATGCAGGAGGGCCTCGCCAACATCTGTCTCATCACCGAGTACCGCACCGTCCTCAAGCAGAGGGTCGAGAGCACCATTCCTAAGAAGCGGTCGGCCAGCTCGGACCAGGATTCGGGCATGAGGCGATTCTTCGACAAGACCCTATCCACGCTCGTCCGCAGCATAGACTGCTCCGTGCCCCGGCCGCTGCTGCTGGCCAGCCCAGGGTTCGTCGCGGGGGACTTCAAGAAGTACGTATCCGACGAGGGCACGCGGAGGGGCGACAAGGCCATGATGGCCATGGCCAAGGGGGCGACGGTGGTGCACTCGAGCTCGGGGCACCTGCACAGCCTGAACGAGATCCTCAAGAGCGCCGAGGTGACGGCGACGATGAAGGACATGAAGTTCTCCAAGGAGACGCGGTTCATGGACGAGTTCTTCGAGAAGCTGCGGCGCGACGACGGCCGGGCGTGGTACGGCGTGGCGCCAGTCGAGCGCGCGGTGCGTGAGGGCGCCGTCGGCAGGGGAGGGGGCGTCTTGCTGGTCAACAACTCGCTGTTCCGGAGCATGGACATCGCGACGCGGAAGAAGTACGTCGCGATGGTAGATAAGGTTAAGGAGGACGGAGGCGAGGCGAGGATACTGAGCAGCGATCACGAGAGCGGCCAGCGGCTGGAGGCCCTGGGCGGCATAGCCGCCGTCCTAACCTACCCCATGCCGGATCTAGACGAGGACGAGGACGAGGACGCGGCGGCGGAAGGGGGAGGCGAGGGTGGAGAGGACACGGTCATATGAAGTCTCGGCGTGACCCGAACGCGGACATGAACGAGCTGCCTACAATTTAATAAAACAAGCGCGCACCCCCGCACAGCGAATTAGGTGGTGGTGGGGGTTCGTCTCAGCGATTCATGGCTTCTGACGCACGCAGGGATGGCGGCGGGGCCGACCAGGATAGGCGGGTTATCGGGGCAGTCAGTCCTTCTTGGTCCGACACAATATCACCGACGCTGATTCAGAGCTACAGCGATTCGCTATTATGTACCTGCAACCTGTGGAGCGGTGGGAAGCGTAGATGTGTGCGGAGGATTACTACAAGACAGACAGCTGTTGAGGTAGGCCGATGCAATTTATACCTAAGTGCAAGCCGCTACGGAGGGAATAGCCAAAGGTACTTACCTGCCTACCCCGGGGCGCCGTCGAGGTCGAGGTCAGGGCCGACACCATGCCTAGCAACACGTTCCGCAGGACTGGTAAGCCGTCGAACGGGCACGCGGCCCCAACGGGCGCGTCTAGAGGGGAGAGGGCATGACGTACCTCGAGGAAAGCTTCAAAAGTGGACTTCAGGATACCTGCCTACCTACCTATCCGGGTACCTACGTCATTCTACCGCCGCCCACGGTTGCGTACCGTTTTGCCCCGTTTTACGCCGTTAGGTACTTTGGGTACCTTTACCGCACCCGCGTTGAGTCGGCGTCCGTAACTCGCTCGTATGCCTCCGCAGGTACCTCGGGACGCTAGCTCGTACCCTGCCTGGCAGAGCCCGTATTTGGCCTTGTCGAGACCTGCGCTCGGATTACCAAGATAGGCCCCTGGCCGCAGCTGGATGGGGTCCGTTTTCTGCTCCACCTGGGTCGCGTGCGAACGATTCCCCCCATATTCCCCTTTCGTCGAGGAGTCTTCCTCTCTTGGACCATGGCATCTTGGCGTGGCGTTGCGTGCCATCGCTATCTTTCGATCTTGGCCCTATCATGCTTGCGCCGCTTCGAGCTCCCCTACGCATATGCGTCTCCCCCGAAAGAAGAGGCGGAGGAAAAGGATGCACCAGCCTTGCTGTCGCTTCTGCCGTTATTCATCCCTCACTCCCCCATGATACCCCCGTAGTCCTTGTCCCTACTGGCCATTCGTGCTTGAGAACGGCGCCGGATGCTTAGAGATTGCTGAGACGGAATCTTCGGGCAGCTTATTCGTTCCTTTGACCCTCCCGGATCTGACGGAGTCTCAACGAAAACCACGCTACGCCCTCTGCTTTGCCACCCGGCCGAGCCTCGCCCATCACCTGGCTTCTGCTCCCGAAATACTCTACGATAAACACGCGCGCCGCGACAGCGATTTCCTCCGAAGCCCACCGTCTCATAACCCGGTCATGTCCCGGGTCTTGTGATCTCGCTTGTTCTTCAGGTGCCTCGGTTCCTACACCACCTATCCCCCCCTCTCCCTTCTCCCATCAACGACACAATCGGCTCGGCGATCCCTCCACCACCATCGGACGTCCTCCTTCGTCTCTAGTTGACCTGGGGTCGGTCGCGCCTGCAGAATGGAAGATGTCGACCTCTCCGCCGGTCACCGAGGGCGCGCGTCCTCGTCAAGAAGACCCAGAGCCGCCGCGTGATCTAGCCAGGTCACCGACGTCCTCCGAGGATCCAGGTACGCCTACGAGTCGCGGTCTTTTGCTCTTCGGTTTTTTTTTGGGTTGTTTTTTCTTCCCCTTCTGGCTATCAACTCGCCATCCTTCCCAAGTCATCATCGCCCACTCTGAAACTGCTCCCACTGATGCGATGCATTATTGGCTAGGTACCAGCACCTCTATCCTGGCCTCTGGAAGGAGGAGCCTCACGAAACTGTCGCGCAAAGACACGGCGGGAAGAGAGGCGAAGGACAGGAAGGATGCCGAAAGCGGCGCAAAGACGGCGTCATCGCAAATGACGAATTCCCCAGCCATCGATCCCTTATCTCATGTACGCCCATCTCACCCTGCCAGCGTCTCGAGGGAGCGCTAGGCTAACCTGCGACCAATTCTAGCACATATTCGTAAGAACCAACACCGACCGTACCCTTACCGCGAGATTTCGTACTTCCGGACGCCCCGACAGCCCCGGCAACGATGCGCTGCCTCGCCTCTCCTCTGATCACCCGGTTTGGCAATCAGTTCCGCAGATCGACCCGTCCAAAGAGAAGAAGTATGCTTCGTGTTAGGCTTCCTTACAAAGAAACGATACGCTAACGGCCCCATGTCTACTAGGAAAGGGGGTTCGTTTCTCAGCCGTCTAAGCATAATCGGCGGAAAGAAGAAGGATGGCAGGATCCAGGACAGCGAATCCGAGATCAGCGAGCTGAGGACCGAGGGCGCGAACGCCGTCGCCTTTTCCTCTACTATTGGCGCCGGTGGCTATATCCCCCACCATAAGGAGCCGCCACGGTATATCAGGGTCAGGGCGCAGAACAAGAAAGTCAAGGAGTTCGATCGAATGTTCCTCGCGCAGGAACTGGCCGGGACGCGGAACCCCTTTCAAGACGACCAAGCAAAAGCTGCCGACGGGGCGGAAGGGTATCAGGGATCTGACAAGGATGAGCCGAAGCTGGGTGGTCCGATATGGGCTGTCGAGTTCAGCAAGGATGGCAAATATCTCGCCACCGGCGGTCGGGACCGGGTCGTGCGCATATGGGCGGTCATCGCGACGCAGGAAGACCGGGAGGCGTACGAAGAGGAGGAGAATGCTGCGAACGGGAAGGAGGAGCGCTTGAGCGCGCCTATCTTCCGCAAGAAGCCGGTTCGAGAATTCACCGGCCACGTCGGCGAGATCCTCGACCTTAGCTGGAGCAAGAATAATTTTCTTCTCTCTTCGTCAATGGATAAGACCGTCCGACTGTGGCACATAAGCAGGCAAGAGTGTCTGTGCACCTTCAAGCACAAGGACTTTGTCACGTCCATCGCCTTCCACCCTCGAGATGACAGGTTTTTCTTGGCCGGGTCCCTCGACTTCTTCCTGCGTCTGTGGAGTATACCCGACAAGGCCGTCGCCTACTCGAGCCAATTATCCGATTTCATCACGGCCGTTGGGTTTTCTCCCGACGGGAGGACCGCGATAGCCGGCTGCTTAAATGGGTTCTGCGTCTTCTACGAGACCGAGGGACTCAAGTACCAGACGCAAATCCACGTGCGATCGTCCCGCGGCAAGAACGCGAAGGGAAGCAAAATCACCGGCATCGAAACGATGAAGTTCCCTCCAGACGCGCCGGACGGGTCGGTGAAGGTGCTCATCACCTCGAACGACTCCCGAATCCGGATCTACGACTTAGGGGATAAGAACCTCGAGTTGAAGCTCAAGGGCCACGAAAACGCGTGTAGCCAAATCAGGGCCACCTTCAGCGATGACGGAAGTTACATCCTGTGCGGGAGCGAGGATAAAAGAGCGTTTATATGGTCGACTAGCGCGAGATTGTCCGAGAACAGAGAGAAGCGTCCCTGCGAGTATTTCGAGGCTCACTCGGACATTGTCACGGGAGCCATCTTCGCCCCGACAGCCACGCGGCAGTTACTGCAATCGTCCGGCGACCCCATATTCACGCTCTGCAACCCGCCGCCCGTGACTCTGTTGAGCAAAGAGGAGGAGTCGGCGACGCAGACGCTCGAGTCGCAGGATGTGCAGCCCGAGATATCGGGCAATATCAAGAAGCCGGACGAGTCTCCGGGCTTCATCGCCCGCTCGACGCACTACGACGGCAACATCATTGTGACCGCGGACCATTCAGGTCTCATCAAGGTCTTCCGGCAGGACTGCGCCTTCACGAAGCGCCGGCACGACACCTGGGAGACTGGTTCGACCTTCTCGAAGAAAATCGGGCGCGACGGCCTGCTCGGCCGCACCGGCAGCGTGATCACACGGCTCAGCGCCAGCAGCCGGGACCCGCACTCACGGCGCAGCTCGCTCACGCAGCCACCCACAGGAATCTTCCAGGACCGTATCAACACGTGGCGCCACGGTGTCGAGGGGGGGCATCACCACCACCATAACGCTAGCGGCGGGCGCCCTGTCTCGCTCATATTCTCGACACCGACACGCAGCGAGCGATCACTGTCGCCCGGGAAGGCCAGCCGTGGCACACCTGCCAACGCCCCCACCTCGAACCCTACCACCAATCCCGGCGGGGGGCGGCCGTACGCGAGCCCCACGCTCAGCGTGCAGACGAATCGAACCGGACCATCCACGACCACTACGACGACCACAACGCTACCTCCAACGCCGAGCTTCTCCCTACGACCACTCGACAACGAGGCGGACCACGACAGTCACGGCGGTGGTGGTGGTGAGCGGCGACCCGAGCGCCTGTCAGGCTACTCGCTCCGGGGCCTAAACCGGTGGCGCAACGTTGGGCAGCTGCGGGGCGGTGGGCCCGGCGACGGCAGCAGCGGTGGTTCTACAGTGTTGCCAATAAGCTACTCGAACGGAGGGCACACTGACGACTCGGCGAAGAGCGATCGGAGGAAAAGCATGGGGGTGGAGGCGGATACCGCCGCGGCGGCGAGTAAGGGCGGTGCCGCACAGGAGAAGAAGGCGGATCGACGACGGAGCGTACCGGCTAGCGTGCTCTTGCAGCAGCAGCAGCACCATCAGCACCATCAAAACCATCAACACCAAGCGTCCCCGCGCCCATCGACTCCAGACCAGGGCGTGGAGGGCCGTGGTCAGGGCCAGGGCCGACTGGCACCATCCCTACTCCCTCCTCACCCTACTCCTGCCCTCGACCCTCCATCCGCTCGCCTCTTGTCTACTCCGTCGTCGGCTAGGCCTGGGGCGGTGGTTGTCGGTCGCCGGAGCAAGGAGGTGTCGAGAGGAGAGGAGGAAGACGGCGAGGATATGCGGTGTTCGGCGTGTGGCAGCAGGGACTTCCGCGCTAAGAAGGTACCGGGGCGCCAAAGGCAGCGACTGCACTGCGGACGGTGCGGGAGGTTAGTTGGTGTGGAGGCGTGAGCCCTGCTGCGCGGATCGTCGTCTCATCCCTGTTGTGTGTCGGCTTTCTCTCCGAGAGAGTGTGTGTCGACAGGGGTGGAGAGGGGATGCTTGGGGCTGTTAATTATTATTTATTCGAACGACAGGACGTCGCTGCGGAAGAAGAGGGGAGGGGAAGGAATAGGGGTAGGAAGGGGGAAGGGGGAAGAGACAGGGAAATATGGGAATATATATACACCTGGATAACACGGGATACGGAAGGGAAGACGGGAAAGGCAGGGGGCGGATATACCACGTGCGGCTGCTGAGAAAAATATATATATACACCTACCTATACGGCGGTGTTTTTATTTTATTTTATTTACTTTATCTCCTCAGCGGATGCGAGTAGCCGCGAAGGCCGGGGGCACATGCCAGCTCACATAAATATGTATATACGTATCTCCCAGCGACGCACGCCCTACGATTCCTACCCTGCGTCCATCCATCGATCCATCGGGAGGGCGGGCACTAGCCCCTCCTCGGCTTGGGGACGCGTCTACCTGCGAGCTTGCCAGCTGCACAGATGGGGCCACGCACGCGCGGCTGCTGGGGCAGGCGACGGACGCCATTGAGGGGGGGAGCGGGTAAGACGGGACAGCGGCACCGCGTCAGCGCGTGGCTGAGCTCAGCGGCCGCGACGCTGCGACGCGCCAGAGAGCCTGTTCTGGGTGGCGGCTGTGGGGTGGGGAAGTTTGCGGCGGCGGATCAGGATAGCGTTTCCGGCTGCGATGGCCGGGAGCGTGGCGGAGCGTATCTAGCCGGGCCGTGTCACGCATAGGAAGCAATACGGACGCGCGCACACGGCGTACAGAGCCTCGACGTCGGCTCGGGCCGCATCTGGGGGGGTGCGAACGGGTAGGTTGGGGACCTCTGCTACTACGCGCGAGGGAGTGCGGGACGCGGAGGGGCGTGGACGACGTCCTTGTAGCCTAGCTTCGCCGCCGCGAGCTGTATAAATTACCTAGGTAGGAATGCCGCGTCTATGGCGGCCAGAGCTGAGGCGCAAAGAACTACCTATCTACTTAGACGGGTGGAAATATGGAGGCCGTACTATGCTGTGCAAAGGTGCTTACATCCTAGAAGCAGGCGGATGCTATGGCCCGCAACGGGGGGAGGGAGAAGTGGCCCCTTTTCATTTCCTTCTGTTTTTCTCTGGTTCAACGTGAAAGTCTAGTCCAAGTAACTCCCCTCCTCTGCAAATAGAGGGGGAGAGAGACAAGAGAAAAAACAGGAGTGCTCGCCTCGCGCGTCCTCGTGTTGCTCATAATTCCGTTTTCCATGTACCTACACACGCAAGCGCCCACTTCTTCACTTCCCGTGGATTCCGTAGACGACGGGTATCGGGCGGAAGATGCTGAACTCCTGGCCGGTCGCGACGAGGGTGCCGGGGATCTGGGGGTGCCAGTGGACCTCCTTGGCGTGCTCCGAGATGTGCTCGAACAGCAGCTGCGGCGGCATGTCCTTGACGCCGGCCGTGTCCTTGCTCTCCTCGTCGTCGATCTCGACCGACAGATCCCACAGCGTCACCTTGTGGTCGGCCGCCGCCACCGCCACCATGCTGTCGTCCGTCGGGTGCCACTCGACGCTCGTGATCTGGTCGCGGTGGTAGGCGAAGCTCGCGACCGGGCTGCTGCTGCTGCTGCTCGCCTGCGCCCCCGCCGCCTTCCACTGCCGCAGGTCCCACACCGCCCACACGCCGTCCTCGGCGCCCGTGGCCAGCAGGTGCGTCGTCAGCCGCGACCACGACATGACGTTGACGTCGGTGGCGCTCGCGCGCACGGTGAGGGCCGGCCGGCGGCTCTTGCTGCGCACGTCCCAGACGCGCACGGTGCCGTCGCTCGACGCCGACGCGAACACGGACGCCTCCTGGGGGCTCCACTGGATCTCCTCGACGCTGCCGGTGTGGCCCTGGAAGGCGCGCGTGTCCGTGACCCAGCCGCCGCCGTCGGTGCGCGTCGTCACGTAGATGAGCCCGTCGTTGTCGCCGGTGAGGAGCTTGCCGCCGGCCGCGAGCGGCGACCAGTCGAGCGCGTAGCCCTCCGACTTGTGCGCGCGCACCGTCGAGAGCGACTTGTTCTGCGGCGGCGCCACTACCGCGCCCGGGCTGTCGAACGAGGCCAGGTGCGGCGTCACGTCGTGGATGAACACGTGGGCGGACTCGGTCATGGTCGCGGTCAGCGTGGTGGGCGGCCGCGACGGGTCGTCCGAGGGGATCTGGTGGCAGCGGATGCGGTTCGTCGTCGAGGCCAGCGGGATGGACTTGGACTCGAGGATGGGGTCGGCGTCCTCGTCGGCGTCCTCGTCGTCGTCGGACTCGGAGTCGTCGCCGTCGCCCCGCTGCGTGCGGCTCAGGCCGCTGAACTTCATCACCATCAGCTGGTTCTCCTTCGCGCGGCCGCTCTCGGCCTGGGTGCCGGCGACGGTGTACATGACGGCCGGGTACGCCTTCTCGCGGCCGTCGCCGAGCCGGTCGCGGACAATGTCGAAGGACAGGCAGGGCCAGGGCGTGCTGAGGCTGTGGAACATCTCGTAGGTGCCCAGGTCGGGGGTGAGGTGCTGGCCGTCCTCGAGCTTGTTGCGGCCGACGATGAAGGTGCCGTTGTCGACGTCCATAGCGCCGGATGCTGCTGCGGCCGCGGCCGCGGCGCGCTCTTCGGCCTCGCGCTCGGCGTCAGGTCTGCCGTCGACGCCGGCCTCGAATATCTCGTCCTCGCTCTCGAACTCGTCTTCAAACTCGTCCTCGAACTCGCCCATCTCCTTGTTGTCCACGTCCATCGGCTCAGGGCGGCCGCCTCCTTTGAGGGGGCGACCCCCGTGGTCGGATTCTGCCAGGCGCTTGGACATGGGACGGATGTGTGTGTGATTCTCGTGCGTTGTCGATTCGCCGTCCGGCCGGTAGGTATGTTTTCGGAGAGAGGGGATACGGCGTAAGGTGAGTTAGGCCAAGCTGTCGAGGATGATGGACGGGAGAGATCTGCGAAGTGAATTCAATTATTGCTATTTTTATTTTATTTTATTTTACCTAAGTTTCTTTTATTTTCCAACTTTTCACTTTTTTTTGGCGCCTTCAACTTCCTCCACCTCCCGGTGGCACCCCCCATGTCCCTGAATGTATTCCGGCTACCCAAAATAGATGCTGCGATACCTACCCCGCGATTTGTGGCTTGTAGGTACCTTGTCCCTTTACCTAATCAGATTCTGCGTCAGTCTGTGGCTGGACCATGTCACAAGCCACATGCAAGCACCTTACATGTACGGTCTATGGGTTGACGTTTGAAGATATTCTGTCCGACAGCCTACCTAGGTACCTACCTGTCCGTATTTTCTACTCTTCGCCCTGGCGTCTTTTCTCATTTAACACTCGCTCCCGTCCACGATTAATCACCGTCTATTCTAGTCTTCGTCCTCATTCCACTGGTCCGTAACGGCGCCGTGGCTCGCGTCCCCGACCAGTCGTGCGTACTTAGCCAAGACACCCCTCCTCACCGTCGGCACCGGCGGTTTCCACGCCTTCCGCCTCTCCTCCAATTCCTGGTCCGTGACGTTGGTGATGTCGATCCGGTTCGCGACGGCGTCGATCACGATCGTGTCTCCGTCCTTGACTAGCGCGATCGGCCCGCCTCGGGCTGCCTCGGGCGTCACGTGGCCGACGATGAAGCCGTGGCTCGCGCCGCTGTATCTGCCGTCCGTTACCAGCGCGATGTTCCTGAGACCTGCGCCCATGATTGCAGCCGAGGCCCTCAGCTGCTCCGGCATGCCCGGACCGCCACGAGGCCCCTCGTAGCGCACTATCAGGACCAAGTTCTCGTCTCGCGGGATCTCGCCGCGAGATAGGGCTTCGTCGAGTCCGTGTTCCTTATTGAACACCCGCGCCTTTCCTGTGAAGCTCAGCCCTTCCTTGCCGGTAATCTTAGCCACCGCGCCTCCGGGAGCAAAATTCCCCCGCAGCACTCTGATGTGGCCCGTCTCCTTGATCGGGTCCGATAGGGGTCGTATTATCTTCTGGTCCGGCGGCAGGCTCGGCCAGTCGGCAACGTTTTCAGCCAGCGTCCGGCCCGTCACCGTCGGGATATTTCCGTTGATCAAGCCAGCCGCGATGAGCATTTTCAACACCGCCGGCGTGCCCCCGATCTTGTACAGGTCTTCCATCATGTACTTCCCGCTGGGCGCCAGGTCCGCCAAGAAGGGTGTCTTGTTACTAACCCTGTCGATGTCTTCCAGACTCAGCGGCACCTCGGCCGAATTCGCCATGGCTAGGAAGTGTAGCACGCCGTTCGTCGAACCGCCGAGTATCATCGTAACGACTAGAGCGTTCTCGAGCGATTCTCTCGTTAACAGATCCCGCGGGCGGATATCTTTCTCCATCGTCGTTTTGATGGTCTCGGCCACGCGTTCACATTCGCGGGCCTTCTCCGGAGACTCGGCTGGGTAGGAAGATGACCCGGGAAGAGTAAAGCCCATGGCTTCGATGGCTGTTGCCATCGTGTTGGCGGTGTACATACCGCCACAGGCGCCGGAACCGGGGCAAGAATGACGCTCCAGATCCGATAGCACATCACTCGGAGTTCGACCCTCGGCGCCTGGGTTAGTCTTGGCGTGGAGCCGGTTGTAGGTGAGGGCTCCCGCGGCCTCATAGCAAGTACTGATATTCACGTCGCGTTCTAAGAGGCTCGAATACCCCTTTTTAATGGTCCCACCGTACTAAAATTTTCAGGTAAGTTGGAGGATACGCGACGACTCCCTTTGGCAGAAGAGGGACCAGCACTCCCACGCCGCGGGCCAGAGGCCGAATAAGAATCCTTGACGAGCCCGAGTGAATATCCACGTCGGCTATGAGCAAGAGCAAACGTTGACTTACGATCATTATGAAAGGCCGGTTATGGCGTACCGCCGCCATGATGACACCGGGCATGTTCTTGTCACAACCGGGGATTGAAATGTTGGCGTCGTGGTGCTGGGCACAGGTAACCGTCTCGATGCTATCGGCAATGAGGTCACGAGTTTGAAGGGAAAATCGCATGCCTATGCCGGCGAGTTTTTAGCGACGTAGCCAATACGACAGAGAAGGGAAAGCGGCAGAGGTGAGGATTCGGATCGAACCTTGGTGGCCCATAGTGATGCCATCCGATACACCTACGGCGTTGTACTGCCACGCCAGCATCTTCTGCTTCTCTACCGTCCTCTTGACGATCTTCCCAAGTTCGAGGACTATCCCAGTTAGTATTCTCCCGATGTGAAAATACAGCCTCCACAAGCTACATATGCCCACTCACGATGTGTACTGCGGCGGTCGTTATTAGCGTCGGCGACAAGAGCTGTGAGCGGTCGACCCGTCACAACCATACTGCAGGCGGATTCCACTTACTTGCACTAAGAAGATGAGGTCAATATTTATAAGTAATTAGGGACAGGTCTCCGCTCCCGCTCTCATGGAATGTCCAGCTTTCCCAGCCGATATAACCAACGACATGTACATGGTTTGGAAAATAGGAGCTAGGAGAGGTAGAGGGACAAGGCGAAGACATACGGGATTCCCTTCCCACCACACCGTCGCGATGCCCACGTGAGGGGCATTCTTCATCAAGTCTTGATTCGGGACGCCAGCAGCATACAGCATCGCCTAGGAAACGCGTGTCAGAGAACCTGCTTCTGCAGGATTCGGGGTGCCGACGGCAGGACACGGACCTGGGCGCCCGGGAAATCATGGCCCCTCGTAAGCGCGGAAGACCAGCGGTTCAACGGGCCACCCGGCGGCAGGCACTTGAACCGGATATACTGCGGGTCGGACTTGGGGTCCTCGGCGAGGGGGCTGGCCCCGTTAGCCTCCGGAGCGCCACTCATGCTGAAGCGATGTCGTCAAGGTTGAACGGCTGTCCTTCTCAGCCGGCTCGTCGATTCACGAGTTCCGGTGTAACGTCTATGGCTGTAAGCTACTTAAGTACACGAACTTGTCATGAAAGACGTAAGTCTCGACAATTCCGAAAGCTATACGCCGAGACAAACCCGTCGTCCTTAAGTACGGCCCTATTTGCTGCGGGGTAAAGCGAGTCGAGGTCGAGTTCGGGTTAAAGTAAAACGGCGGCGATGCCTGCCTACTGCTCGAAGGGTTCTCTTTTTTTTCTTCCCTTAGGGACGCACACGTCTTGCATCCTGCATTACGTATTCCGGTTCGAGGAGAGGGAACACATCTATCCATATCGAATGGAGGGCGGGGCGATGACCGGCTGGAGCGGGGACTCGGGCGCGGACTGGGAAATCCTCCCATGCCTGACTAGCAACTATTTCCAATGCGCGAGAGGCGACTGGTCGGGAGGATGGCGTTAGTCGTGACAACAACCCGGTCTAGTCCACAATATTCCCTCCCCTGTGGCCGTCTAGCTCGAGCCCGGCCTCTACCTCTACGTCCTGCTACTCGTCTTCCTCCTCTCGCCTGGGGTAAAAGCGTGGGTCCCTCTTTGTCTCTCTCGAAGCCGAGGGCCGGCACGGAGTAGAACGAAGCGAAGTAGAACGAGGGCGAGCAAGGCGAGGGAGGGGGAGGGGCAGGGAGACGGCCAATGTGGAGCTCGTAGGTTAGCCCATATTGCCATGCAGGACGCGAGGCCGAACATCGCATAACCTGTTTCTGTCATCGGCCCACATCATGCGCAGGCGAGCGAGTGAACTCACGGCCACCTCGCCTACCTGACAACTTCTTCTGCTCACCACTTACTCACCACGACCGGCCGGAAAGTCTGGGCCAGCCGGGTTCGCCATTCAATCCACGCCACATCGATCACTAGCTCCGGGACCGGACGGATAGGGCGAAACAGACGGCGCCCTGGATGGGGGAGGCGGCGGTATCACCGGCGATCCGTTCACTAGTCGTCCGATGGTAACGACAGATCGAGATTTACGACCAACAGATCGACGTAGCGTTTAGGAATATATTTATCTTGCCGCCCGCACTTTCGCGCCTTTTCACTGAAAACATGTGACAAGCTATCAGTAGCAGGGCTGTCCCTTAGCGAACTCCAGAGGCGGAATGAGCAATCGGTCGATTGATGTCACATTAACCGCCCCCAACTCCCGGAACCCCGCCACGAGAGAGGTTGAGTTGCATTGCGCCTCCCGGTCGGTACGCCGATCGTAAGAAGCAATAACAACAATAATGACAACTTTTATTATGCGATATATATATGTATATATTACCTACGGGCCATGATTATCTCAAGCCACCCTGCAAAATTCCCTCCGCCGGGTCCGGTCTCGTCCCACGGTCCCGCTCCGTCTCCCACGCATCGAAGCCACTGGGGAACTTGTCGACGAGCGCGCGCATGCCAGCGATCAGCCTCGGGTCCCGCCAGCAGGGGTGACATTAGTTAGTTTATTATCAGCTCTCTGTGCGTATCTGCACGCGGGTGCGACAGCGTATAACGGCATGCAACTAGGGGACGGTAGAAAGGGGGGCAGAGCGAGAAACAACAAGCATACATGGTCCGGTAACTCGGATCGTCCTTGTATAAGATCGAGTCGAGAATGTTGACTCGGCTACAGTGAGTCAGCTGTTGTATCCCAGCTTGGACGTAGCGTATGCGCGGCACGGGGAGTGCATATGAGACGAAGAGGCCGGGCATGACGTAGGAAAGTACGCGTGTAAACCAGCAAGCCTCCTTGAAAGAGAGACAGGGGAGAAACGCGGGATCAGAAGGGAGGGAAGCAAGGGCAAGGGAAAAACTTGCGTAGCATATAAGAGGTTCCGGTCGTCGAAGTCGGCCTCGGGCGGCGACGCGGGGAAGTGCTTGAGGTACTCGGCGCGGTAGGGAGCGTTCAGCTTGTTCCAGGGCTGCCGCCAAACGCCGAGGTCGTCTGCGCGCGTGTCAGTTTGCCGGTCAGCACTTGTCCACTTGGCCGATGATGTTTTGTCGAGCGTCGGGTAGGGTCCGGGAATCGATCGGTCGACCACTTACACTCGTTGTGCGCGTAGAACGACGCCGCGTCGAAGACGACAGGCGCGCCGGTCCGCGCGTCCACGCCCGCATTGCCGTCCCACAGGTCGCCGTGAACCAGCGTCGGACGCAGCACGTGTCCGCATGTCTCGAGCGGCCGCAGCAGCCGCGGGACCACCTTCGCGAAGAAGAGCGGCGCCAACCGCTCGATCTCATCGTCGGAGCCCTGAGAGCAGGTAGGTGCGGAGTAAGTAAGCAGGTGAGCGACAAGGGGGAGAGGGAGGAATCGATATTGTACGAGAGACGAGTAGAGAGAGCGGGGGAGAGAAGATCAGATCAGAAGAGACTAACCCGCGCCGCCCGCTCCATCTCAAGCAGGACCCGCGTCGTCCGCGCGAAGTACTCCTCCCACGAGTCGGACCAGCCGTGGTCAACGTGCACGTTGCCGTGGAAAGTCGGGATGTCAGATCCGAACCTCCCCCTCCTGCTCTCGCCAACTCCTTCTCTTTCCCCGCCACTACTACCCTTCGCCGCTCCGGCCCGGTGCAGTGCTGCGATGCGCGCTGCGAACGGGGCTGCCGCCGGGACCTCGCCCGTCAGCGGGCGGAACTCGCACAGTAGGAAGTGCGTTTCGTCTTCCTGACCTCTCGCCTGACTTCTATTTCGATGTTCTCCTTTGCCCTCCTCTTCGCTACGGCTACTGCTGCCGGTGCCACCGCTACTTCCAACGTACGTGCCCCACGCGATCGGCTCCGGGACCAGGGCCACGCCCGCCGGATCCGTAGCACCGGCGGCGCGGCGTAGACGGCGGGTGCAGCGGAACTCGCTTTCCATCATGGCACAACCGAGGGCGCCGGTGGCGGTCTGTCGCTTGCGCGTTAGCGGGTCGCGCACGCTCTTTTTCTTCTTCTTCTTCTCCTGTCCCCTTTGGGAAGCATGCAGGATTCCCCTCCCCCAACTCCACGGAACCGGGACACCGCGACCCCGCCGCAGCAAAGTCGCAAGATGGAGACAAAAGCCAGAGACAACTCGCCCACCTTAAGAAAATACGCGACGCCCACGCCGTCACGCTCGGCGTCTAGCCGCGCCGTCCGCGTCCAGAAACTGGAGCCGTGGGGCGCGAGACCCCGGACCGTCGTGCCAGGGGGCAGCTCTGCCGCACGCGCAGGGGCCGGCCCTCGTTAGCAAAGCGAGCGAGCCGGCGAGAGAGAGAGAGAAGGGGGGAGGTATCAATAGGGAAGGAGGAGGCCTCGTACCCGCGACGACAGCCGGGTCCACGACGCGGGCGGCCGGGACGTCGGGGACACGGCGCGCTGCCTCGGCGGGGACGGTGGTCATCCCTGCTCGTTCGTTCCGGGGAGGGGGGAGGGGGAGGAGGCGGACAAGGGTCGGGAAAGAAGACGAAGGCAAAGGGCAGGGCCGGGTGGGTGTAACGATGCGTGCATGCGTGCGTGTGCGTGTGCGCGCATGCATACAGGGGAAGGGAGGGAGGGAGGAAAGTAGGTAAGTGGTGGCAGCCAGACGAACGGACGGGCCGACGGGCGAGACGCGGGAGCGGGAGCGGGAGCGGGAGCGGGAGCGGGCGCGGGAGCGGGTAGGTGCATGCGTATATGTACGTGGTGTTGTATGTGCGTACGCGGTGTAGTAGGTGTGTGCCGGGGAGAGACGCAGGCGTAGATGAGGGTGGTGGTAGCGACGGTAACAGTAAATGCTGGCAGTTGGTGATGGTGGCATGGCGGGCCGTCCGTCATTGGGCGCCTCTCTCTCGCTCTCTGGTTGACTTAATACATTCTCTTATTAGTGGGTGTGCTAGGGGCTTAGGTAGAGTGTGCGGATCGACTTGGGGACTACGACTGCTCGAGAGAAGAGAACACCGAATGTGCGGTGCTCTGAATACCAGAGGGCGGGAATATAATTTTTTTAAATTGCCAGCTCCCATTCCCCAAAAAGATGCCCACGATTCCCTTCTCCCCCCCCCCCTTTTTTTGCTCCGTGATCTCTTCCCCTCTCTCCCATCCGAGGGCTGCTATTGTCAAGTCGCCCACAAGTGTTTGTTAATGTACAGGACTGTAAAGTTCTCGCCCAGGAAACGCGGGTGCGGGCGCGTCGTAAATCATGCCAGGCAATAGGAAAAGCAGTGCCATCCCTTTCCCAGAGCCATGATAGTGAGTTACACGTTAGATGATAAAACAGCGAAAAAAAAAATCCAAATCATTGCTACCGGCCGTTGCACACGTCACACTTCTTACTCTCATATCGTCTCTCTCCCTCTCCGACCTCTGCTCCCCGCTCCGTCGATATGGAATAGCACTCCAAGTAGGTTTTGTCCACACCAGATCTCCCCTGCCGCGACCCGAGATCTTTGCGCTCCGGGTAGGTAGAAAGCGGCCCGTGGAATCTCTGTCCGGGCTGCAAGGTCAATCCAGTCTTCCCCTTCCTTTTCACGCCGCAGTGCCCTGAAAAAAAAATTGGTGAAAAAGAGAATTATCCACGCGCTGTTTAAATAGACATGTATGGGTTAAAAAGAGGCGAACTGAAAGGGCAAGGGTGCATTACGGAAAAAAAAAACTAAAAGATATACGAGGGCGTAGCGGCTAAGATAGGGTCGGCAGCTCGGTTTCGGGCCAGCAGCAACGCCGACTCGGACCGGCCCCGGGGATTGGTAACCACGATTCGACACCGTTGCGGCTGGACCTGATTAAATAGTCTTGACACAGAACGCTATCCCCGGGTCGCTCCCCTACGCGATAGTCGTCACGCCGACGCTTCTTTCTTCCTCCATGCGCCGGACCAGTTCCCTCTCCTTCGGACTCCGCGGGTTGGCGTCGATCCCGAGGATGGCGCTGATACGGGTCTTATCACTCTTCTCGTACACGTTCTCGCGGTCGTTCGGGCTCGCCACCGGTGTTATCGGAGTTTGGCCGCTGGTGGAGATCACGCTCGCCTTCCACGCCTGCTCTAGCACGATTGGGCTGATGCCCGAGCCGTACTCGGCTGCGACCGTCCCCCAGAACGACGATCGGTGCGCCGCGTAGATGGACTGGAGCCGAGGGATATCAACGTGAGTCGAGGGTGCGGGGAGAGAGCAGTCGAGGCGGAGGACAGGACCCGGGTCGATGGACAGAGGCTGGGGAAACGGGGATGGCGCCAGCGGCCGGGTCGCGTCTGCTATCGCATAACCACACGATGGCGTGGGGACAACACTCGCAATGCTCATCGTAGCTGGTTTGGGTAAGATGGCGGGCAGGCGAGGCGAAACATTGGCGCCGGTTATGATGCTGGGAAGCTGCACCATCGAGGTCGTGTAGTTAGGTGGCGATTCGGGCTCGTGGCTTGCGACGCTCCCGGACGGCGAGTTATCCCGCGGGGAGCGCTCGTGGACGGGCGACGGAACAGCAGCCGGCAGGAGCGGCGAATGGCCCGTAGAAGAGCCCGAGGACACGGAGGTGGTTCGCTTGCGGCGATTGCTTCCGTGGCTAAGCTGGTGGTAGTGAAGGCGGCACGCCAACTCAGTCTTCTTCAGGTGAGCGGCAATGTGCTTGTACGGCATCTTCTGGAGACGAGTCTGAAGCAAGTACACTTCCTATTTCGCGATCCTGATTAGCATCTGTCGAGGGTGGATCGCGTCGCCTCTCTGGGCCGGAGAACGCAGGCTAGAGTCCCACTCACCTCATCCTCGCTCCACGCCCTTCCTCCGCCAGTGGACGCGAGCTTCCGGTTTTTCGTGATGCCATACTCGTGACGATCCAGAGCGTCGCTCGTCGGAGTGTATGGAACGCCAGACGGCGCAGACAATTGCATCGATGAGGGCATCATGTCTCAGAACTTGTAGCTAGGTTGCGATGGGGTTCGAGAAATAATAGGGCGGGATGTTGCTGACGAATCGAAGGGTTGAAAAAAGAGTATGTTTCAAAATAGGCAGACCGTGCTGCTCTGGGAATCGAAGTAGTTTATTTTGTGAATATAAAAAGTCGTCGAGTGGATAAAACCGGGTTTCTGCTTCGCCGAACGTTCGAATTCGATAACGGCCGTGCCAGACTACTGATATCCCAACGAACTGCCTGCGATCCGAAGTGGGAGCTCGTCCTCGCGTGAGAGGTAGGCGGGTTTAGACTGAGAGACCGGAAGCGAAAAAAACGAAGCAAGTCGGAAGGTCAGAAAACCACCCAAATAACACCGACGACGAAGGTAATTATTCAAAAGAGCGTAAGCAGCCAAGCCAGTTGGGCGATGAAAGAAAGTGATCGCTAGCTGCGAAGAAAGAAACGAAATCGCAACAGCGTTAATGGACGATGCAGTGGCTCAACCGATGCGGTGGTAAAGAGGAGACAAAACAGAAGGGGAGGAGTAAGAGAAGGCGAGAAGAAAGGCGGATAATAACGATAATGCAGCTTCTGCATCATCGTTATCCAGCCAAGGACCAGGGGTCACAGCCTAGACGAACTGGGGGATGGTGCCGACCAGGGGGGTGAGGGAGGGGAGCAGGAGGAGCAGGAGGGGGGGGGGTGGTGGTGGACACTACCATAATAACCTCGCCAATAGTTCGTCAACTAAGGGTCCTCCTCTTCCCTGTACCTTGTATCAAGAGGTCGAGATGGGGTGGATGCGACAGGAACGGGAGGCATAATCTTGGCTCGAGATGCTGGGCTGGTAACGGATTCCCGCCGACCACCGATCCAAAACGGCCACCCCCCCGGCCTGGGCCAGGGAGGGAGACCGGAGGACGGATGTGAAGTTTGCCATTGCAACTTGCTCGACTGCCATTCCAGATCGATCGATAGATGGATATATCCATCGGGAGGACTTCGACGCCTTCTCGCCCAAAGCACGCGTGGGAGCGTTGAGGCGAGGACCGCGCCCTTGTACGCAAATTGAAACTACTTGGGAATGCTCGGCGACGCTATCTCGTGATCTATTGGCACTTCGGGGACCGTACGGACCGCGCAAGCCGTACAGTGGCCCAGTGCAACGCCAGTCGGAAGCCATGTGTGCGTATTATGGAGAATAAAAAAGTACGACCCTCAGAGACGCTCGGATCCAGGGCACATAGACCGGGGGGGAAGACGTACGTGCTTTATTTTCTGGCTCCGTCCCATGGCAAGTCGTGTTCGTCTCGACGAGGGCGCGTAGAATGGGAAGAAGGGGAAAAAAAAGAGCGGTCACCGAAGCAGGTTGCAGGGAACAGAGGCACCGCACCCGCTCTAGTGCTGGGAATCGACGACTCCGTATACATGGAGAAGGCCGGAAGATGCCGAGGCGGGCAGCGATGATAGTACTCATACACACACATGCATAGGTTAGGTAGAGAGAGCCGACTCGGACATGGATGCCGGGAATCCAAGTCGCCAGGGCGTGGACGTAGCAGGTATGTGTGGTGTTGCCGCACCACGCACACAGGTCTATTAACGACCGCTATGGCGGAGGGCCGGATTTAGAACAAGGTCGCTCGCTCGCTGGTCCCCGTCTGGAATAGGCAGCACGCGCAGTGCGGAATAGGGAATGGGATCGTGTAGTGAGTAGATAATGGACAACGAAACAGGTAAGCGAGCAGAGGCGGAGAGGCGCAGAGGTGCAGAGGCACGTAATCCCGCGTATTATCGCCGCGGCGATCCCCCTCCCCCGCCTCTCGATATATCCTCTTCTCCGTAAGTTTCTTGTCTTCTATTTTCTATTTTTCTCCTGTCTCTCTTTTTTTTTCTTCTTTTTTTGCTGTCTTCTATCCTGGCGAGCCGGCTCTTCGAACCCGCCCCAGAGAGAGAGGCAGAGGAAGAGGGGATGGGGAAATGGACCGTCCCGGAGAAAAAGAAGAGAGAAAAGAGAGAAAAAAAAAAAGGGTCTGTGTCGCGAGAGTTTGGAGTTTGACGTTTGATGTTTTGACGTTTGACATCGGTCGGGGTTGGGAAGGGACGTTGCTTCACCGTGTTACAGAGACGCGCTTATTAAACCGTACCGGGGTGTCTATTGGGCGCACCGACCCTGGCCACACCTCGATTGCTACGTACCGTGTAGTGGCATTGCCCCACCAAACCCCGCTACGACGTAGTGCGCCTGGGACCCCTGCAGGGCACACCCTGGAAAGAACGCTCGCGGGTCCCGGCCGAAGTACCTCGCCTGCGTAAGATCGTGCGTGGCTACATAGCGCACCTACCTAATATAAGCACGTTTAGCTTCGCAGGACACGCCAGCGTGGAAACGCCATCCAACCCATGCCCTTTGAGCCCCTTCCCCTTTCCTCTTTCGTGCGGCCGCCCGCGGCTCTGCAGAGTTTCAGGTACGGCAGGCGCAGGTAGCTAGCATGTAGCTAATCGCAAGACAAACGCAGCGCCGTCTGCGGTGCCGGCGCGGCGGAGGAACAAGAACAATACGCGCCGGAACATCCAGAGGTACATACATCAAAGAGGTACATCAAAGAGGTACGTACAAGAGGCACGTACGTCTTCTGCCCAGTCCTGTTTCGCCGCAACAACGCCCTGGCCGCATCAACTCTGACATAATTGAGGTAGGTCCCCTCGTACCTGGACGTCGCCGAGTCAAGTGACTTCGACGCCCTACCATAATCCGCACCCCGTTCATTTCCCCTAGGTTGTTTCTGCCTTCGCCATCCCTGGCAACCTCTTGCTCGGCCGAGAGATTTCCTGACACCATTCCACCTCCGTTTCCGTCTCCCTCTCCCTCCATCGGATAGCCCACGCTGCCTCTCTCTCTCTCTCTGGGTTTCGCTACGGCAGGGCGGATCAACAAGACTTGGCCGACCTCGTCATGTTTAGTTTCATAAAACATCACGCCCCAAACGCCCCGTCGCCCCGTCTGTTTCCATCCGGCTTCTACCTTTCCTTCCATCTACGTACTACGTCGTATGTATGCGATCCTCGGTTTCGCAACCGGCCTGGTGCACCCATCCACCCACCGCAATCCCTCCTTAACCACTAAGAAAATGCATTTATAGACGCCTCCCTGCGCCTGGGCTAGTCGGTAGTCTATTTCCTACGGAGCCGAATCTACTCATTAATTTGTTTAATCATCTCTGAGGTCCACACCCCTCTTCGCCAATCCTAACCGCCAAGTTAGCCGTTCGCAGGATGTCCATCCAGATTATGTGAGGCGGCGCGCCCCCTCAGGTGTTCTCAGGTGCTATTTAACCTCCCTGAAGATGATTGCCTAACTATTATCAACTGCGCAGCGTCCTCTCCTAGTTAAAGACGGCCGCTCCACCACCCGGTGGCCCTGCTACCGCGTACTATACTCATACGGACGAGCTAGATCCCCGGTGCTCTCGAGGAGAAGGTCAAGACCCCTGTTGCTCGCCGGGGTGGCTCGACGCCTTTGAAACTCGGCCAGGGGTATCCTGTCTTGACGATTCGGGTTGGTTGAGAACATGGGCGGATCGAGCACGTCAGCGTAATGAACGTGGCTGTCGATCTATAAGTCTCGTCTCGCTATTATTCTCTGATACCGATTCAAGACGACCATCTCTCGAGAACTAGGTATGTAAGCCCCGACCGCGTTACATGAGGCGTATACACACGCAGATGGGCTGGTTTCCCTGATAGCCGAACAGGGATCGGACACGCCACCTCTGGTCTATCTGATAAGCACCTCAACAAACAAACCCGGCCAGCACCAGCTACAACAACCTTTATTTAGGCGGCAGTACGAGATCCGCCCGTGCCAGACTATGAGTAGACAACCACTGGCGCACTACCGTAAAATAAGTGTCGCTACCTCGTATCTTCGCACCGCCATATGACTGTGCTGCTGTGCCGCCGCCTCAGATCTTGGTAATGTCGAGAAACAGAGAGATTTTGGGCTCGGAGGCCTAGACTAGCCGAAGGACTCTCCACCAAACATCCAAACGGCCGCTAGAACAAAACAACGAGCGCCATAGTCATCCCAAATCCGAGCATTATCAGGGGCCAGGCGATAAGAGACGAAACCAGGTGCCAGCGTGCCGCACCTATCAGGACCGACCCTTTTTAAGCGAGGAGCGACGACGATATTCAGAGATGGGTCATCGGAATAACGGTCCTTTTGCCATCGTCGGGAGTCACGAGGTCAACACCAGCTATCCCTTGATGAAACGTCTCTCACACCCCCCACACAACCGCTCTTGCGTACACACTTCGCGGCAATGCGTGAGCAGGCATACCATCTTAGTGGGTATCTTACGGTTCCCGCTAACCTTTTGACACCCGCGCCGTGGAGAGTCGTGCGTCACCGCCGCATGCCTATGAGTACGCACAGGCAAATCACGGACATAATCTGGATATCTAGCCTTCACGTGCGCGGAAAACGCCTTGCCGTTTCTCCTCGATCGCGGTGTGCCTCTTTTCCCGCTTCCCTATCTTGATGGGCCCCCAACCGAGAGCTGTTGTCGGCAAGGCGTCTGAAGGTCTCCTACTCTTGGGTAAGAAACAATATCGTGTTGAAGAGGGCTATAATACTGGTACTCTAGGCGCCGCTTGCCGAGATATTACTACCCACGCATCGTAGGTGGGCCGTGATCCGAAGCACGCCCTCGGCGATTCTCATAACATTCTTAGCACTATGAGTATGTCTGCCTGGATACAGATACCCCCTTGCGATCGCCAGCCGGAAGTCGATCAATGAAAGGCCATGCCTCGGTCACGCCACAAGGCAAAAAAACGTCTCCTAAATCATTCGATGCGAGAACTAGGTGAGTATAATATCTCAATCAGCGCCGGGTCCGCCAACGGATCTTCGGCAAGGCTGTCTCCCTACATACATACATACCCATTACTGCTCCGAAGTCTTCTTCAAACTTGTCCTGGACTTAGTTCAAACGGTTGTGGTTCAACTCGTGCGTGCGTAGCAAGTACAAGGTAGACGAAAACACGGGGGTTTGGGGGGCACCCAGCAAATGTGCGTCTCCTCAACGTCACCAGATCCGGCTAACAAGTTGTCGCCGCCGCTCCCGTCCATCTGATATCTGTCTTTCCCGCATCTATCCGCGCGAGATCTATATATTTGCTAGATATCTCTGGGTACACGCGTACCTCATAGCCCACCTCGATTTTTTTTTTCTCTTTCAGTTGG